TAACTCTTTCCCTGACGAACTCTTTCTTTGCTAACTCTTTCTGTGGCTAACTCTTTCCCTCACTAACTCTTTCTTTGACTAACTCTTTCCCTGACTAACTGTTTCTTTGCTAACTCTTTCTTTGACTACCTCATATATCCTGATTAACTCTTTCTTTGACTAACTCTTTCCCTCACTAACTCTTTCTTTGACTAACTCTTTCTTTGACTATAACTGTTTCTTTGAATAACTCTTTCTTTGACTAACTGTTTCTTTGACGAACTCTTTCTTTGCTAACTCTTTCTTTGACTAACTCTTTCCCTGACGAACTCTTTCTTTGCTAACTCTTTCTTTGACTAACTCTTTCCCTGACATTCTAAAAGTCCGTAACACGGAAGTTTCTCCCCCTAAACTTCCTTTGATTATCAGTATTGGTGGCATAGCAGACACGTGAAATGGACACGAATGTGGAAATCCGCAAATGGGAAACCGAAAATATCCCAAACTTCCCCACGACTACAACTGGTGTATATTTGAAGCAACTCAAGTGATTTGAGGGTCCCACTGCGCTTTCAAGTGACCATTGGCACATCCGCTCAGACAGCAGTCTTGTGTGCACCTGACGAGTTTGGCCAAAATCAATCCAAAGATATCCAAAGTGAGTTTCTGTTTTTCTTCGACCAATACCCAAAAGTGTGATTAGTGATTTGTGGACCAACTGTTGTGTCATGTGGTAAATCCAATAAAGCATCTCCCAAAAATGTGGGTTTCTAACTTGGCAAAAATAAACCTGGGAAAAAAGATGGCTCTAAGCCATGGTTTTATCATTGCCATCTCATTTTTTTTCGCGCCACGTTAGATTTCGACCGTCCGCCCAGACGACCAGCACCACCACCACCAGCACGTCCACCACCAGCACCTCCACAACGACGGTGACCACGACCACCACCACCTCTACGGTGACGACCACCACCACAAAGGTGCCTGGAAATCATCGTTTTTTTGCAAAGTTACCCAATAAATGAGGAAATTTCTTATGAGTATTTAAATGGAGAAAAAAACCATTGTCATGTTTGATTTCCAGCGGGTAAACCATCAAGAAATTGGGATTTCATGAGAGAATCATGTTAGTTACACGCAGAAACCATGATAACAAGTGCGGGATTAGGTGTTTAAATGTGTTTAATATGAATGGGAGATGAAATCAATTGGGATCATTTGGGATTTGGATTGCGTTTGATTTTGGTAAAACATTGGAAAATGGAAAAAATGAGGGATAGCCATGACAATATTGGCATCCAATGTTCAAGCAGTTCCGGAGATGCCCCGCCAGGCTCCACGGGTTACTTGGTGGCACATTTGGCGGTTCTCTGAGAATCCTCAAGATCCTGCTAGGTCCTGCTACTGAGCAACCCATCTCCAGCTGTTGGTGGCATTGATGGTTTGTTGGCCCTGGATGCGCCAAGGAGACCTGTGGTATTTGTGACCTGGAGAATCACACAGATGTGCAGCTGCCATGTGTTGAAAGGGACAGATGTGGAAGTCCCAAAAGCCGGGCCCCGTGCTCTTCGCTTCAGAGATTCCTGTAAGCTTCCAACTCCAATGGTTTGACAGCAAATGCACACCCCAGTGGGTGATAGTGTCTATGAGTACTTAAATGTACTTAAGTACTACCTCTGCAGCCACGCAAAGACAGACGGTATACTGGAATTGGATGACATCAGGCTGCTTCTTGGAACCCCGTCAACAACGGCTCGATGACCCTCACAGGATGCATGAAGAGCACTGAGCACAAATCCAACTGGTTGGAGATGGAAAATTCAGGGCTAATCCCCCAAGTTTTCACCATTCTAGAAAGCTGACGGTAAATGAATCTAAATGATGCCATTTTCGGACTCAAAGTCATCATGTTTTCTCATTAGAACAAGATTTGACTTCCATTCAACCTCCTTAAACCATGAAAAAACCTGGATGAACCTCCAAATTCCACCATGAAGACCATAACAGCGGTGCAGGACCCTCGATAGAGAACCTGTTGAAACAGGATGGCATGACTTGGGAGTTGATGTGGCAGAGCAAGTCCAAACCCAACATGGACAATGCCTTCCTGTGCCTGGGAGCAGGGGGTTGCTGGATGTTGCTGGATGTTGCTGGTTGCGTTGCTGTCATCATTTGTTGTTCCATTTTTCCAACAAGAATCGGTTGGATTTTGTTCAGCTCTAAATGCGATGTTCGCCCTGCCACACAATTTTTCGGCAGTATCCTTGATCTCAACATGTCTTGTAGCATCAATGTTGACGGGAGGCCAGCTGCAGCAGTGCATTTGTTTGTCAAATCCTGGACTATTCAGTAAGTCCCGGAATCTCAGTGAATCTTACTTTACGATCTTCCCAATCCCCATCTAAATCTACATCTACAGTCATCTAAGTCATCTACAAAAAGCCCAGAAAACAGATGTGTTTTTCAGGTAACCATTGAAAAGATGTTGAAAATATGTTGAAAATCCCGAGAATCAGGATGGGCACCTGGAACGGCCTGGGCTGCTGGGAACCTGGCGCCCTGATCACCATCCGCGACGATGGAAAGCTCAACATGTTGGCGGTGATCAACGGCCACGCGGCGGTGTGTTGGAAAGTCCTAGCTATTTGAAGTCGAAAATGGAATTTGGGATGAAGTTGGGATGTAGCTATACGCTATTTTCAGGTTGATGATGTTGATGATGTTGATGATGTCTAAAAATAGGTGCTATTTCAATAAGGAAGATGCTGATAATCCAATGGATTTAGGGGTATTTTCAGACAAAGCCATGTGTTGTTAAGAAAAAGTGTTTGGACTTTTGTACCAAGAAAGGATGGATTTCAGGAGTTGACCGATGTGGTCAGATTTCACCAGGTTGAAGCATCAAAGTTTTACCCTTTGGGAGGTTTTGATGCAACTGCAAATTCCCATTTGAAATCCTAAAAGACTCTAGGACTGGTTGCGGTATGCCCAAGGTCACCTAGAGGGAAACCTTAATAAGATGCGAAATGGGAAAGAACGAAGCTACAACAGACAAACACAAGATCCAGTTGCGATGATTGAAACTTTCCCAGCCCAAACTCACACCCAGAACTTTTCAGTATAAACCAAGGTGAATACAAGTCCTTGCCCAACCTCTGCAGCGTCTCGGCATGGAAGTGGATATCATGTGGATGTCTGAGAGGTCCTTGATGTCTGGATTTGTTGGCCGGAAAGCTGTCAAATCCCAACCTTTGAATCCCAAACATCAGGTGCTTCAAAAATCTGCAAGAAAATCAGATAGAAAAGAATCGTTCCTTTAAATCTTCCCTTCAACCACACGAGCTACCCGGTATTACCCGGTCCACGTGTGCCCATGGCCCAGACAAGAATGTCCTGGACGGAGAGTGGCATCACATTGTGGCCACCTTCAGCCAGAGTCACTTGGTAGAAAAACACCTCTGTTCGGTGGGTTTCCCATAAAATCCTGTAAAATCCTGCAAAGGATTGGCAGAGTTTCAAACCTTGGTCTCAGCCTCTCACGATTTTCCGGTCCAAATTGGGTTGCAGAACAATTCTCCCATACTTAAGATGCTTAGGTCCTCAAAGTATGACTCATGTAGGGCTTGTAACCCCTTTCACCACCATTTATCCACGATTTCACCACAATTTATCCATTTATCCATCATTAAACCATGAACCATCAACCATCATCAGCCATCATCAACCATCATCATCATCAACCCACCACTTCACCACAATCCCAGGTAATAAGACGATGCGGCTCATCGTGGACGGCTGCATTGAGTCGGAGTTGCAGCGCACCTGGAATCCACGACGCTTGCAGCAGGTGAAAGTTTCATCCCAACAGATGTAACATATGGATTTGTCTGAAATTAGGGAAGCTCCAAATTTGATGGATGATCTTCATTTTCCCTCATGTTCGAGCCATTTGGGGGGATATTGCATTTTCAGACACCATATCAGGGGAACAAATTGATCACAATTCGTGTGGTGAACCACAGAATTCACAGGGAAAATTTCAAGGAAAAATATATAACAATCAAACCCAACAAATATATATATATATACAGATACATATTAATGATCACAATAAGAATTTCAGAACCACATCATCCCATTTATGATATGTATGGTGAAGGTTCATGGTGAATGATGAGCTGAAACTACACTGCGGCTCTCAGGATTCCAAGCCTTCAACTTGGGCTACGAGCCAGGTGGGTCACCGGCCTTTTTGAAACGGAGAAAAGCGGGCGTAGGCAGCGTAGGCATAGGGTAGACCCCACTTTTGGACCCATGGGCGTGTTGCTTCGTCCCATTAGCCACCGAATGGTGAACCTGACCATAGAACCTCCGCTCGCAGGAGAGAAAGGCATCGGTAGCAAGTTCCTGGCTGGTCCCGCACAGCGAAGGTACAAGGGCCACGACTACCAGCACGACTCTCGCTCCCCTGGCTGCAGATTAGCATCTAGCGGCTCTAGCGATTTTGGGAAGTCCAGTTGCCACTTTGGGACCAAACCAGCCCATGACTACGTTTCAGGCTGTTGGCGCCAAAATCCAAACTCAAAGAAAGTTAAATCGGATTTTCATCTTTGGTCACTGCAAACTCCCCAAACTGTGGGGCTTTCCCGGTTTTCCCCAGGGTTTCCCCATGGCATTTGGATTTCACCGTTTCACCCAAACCACCTCTCCGAGATCCAGGTTATGGGCGCCTGGTCTTTTGGAACCGGGCTTTGGATCCTCATGAGATCTCCTTGAAACATAGCACCGCCTGCTGCAAGACCGGCTTGGTGGCCATTTACCGCTTCGACGGGGAGATGGGGATTGGATGGATGGGATGGATAGGATGGATAGGATGGGATGGGGCCAAGAGGAAACTTGCCAGATTTTTGGGAAATATTGGTGAATGGTTGGCTAATAGCTTGAGACTTGGCCTGATGTGTGAAAAAAACGAAAAAAAACAGTATCCTAATGTATCCCACTAAGGATCAGTTTTTGCTGGGTAACCATCGGCCATGGCAGCGTGAAGTCATGGAATCCAACGAAGGGGACTGCAATGGTTGCAGATTTGGTCCAGGTGAACAGCAACGGTACACACCAGTCCTTAGAGTCTTAGAGGGATAAGATGAAGCTGCACCCAAGATTGGTGGGCCCACAATTTCTTGTGACACCCACACTGAATGGAAGCAGATTGATTTGTAGGACTACATAGATGCGCTTCACAATTTCGAGCACTTCCAGCATGCCCAGGTAGGGCATGGTAGGGCAACGACTGCCATTCTGTCAGTCATGCGGAGCATCTTTAGTCCTGGAACAGGCCATGTTGAGCATAAGATGAAGGTGCACATCATTCAGATGATGATTCCCCAACATATCCCAGTCATTTCAGGTTATCCTTCTAGCTAATCTGTGGTAAAGTTCGCCTGTTTATAGATTGTTTTCCGTTCATAGAGGGGGAAAATCCGATTGCCATTTTGATTGTGGAATTTGTACTTGCCATGGATCCATCTGTTGGAAACTGTGCCAAACTCCCAGGGCGAGTTCGAGAACGAGGATGGTCCAGCCGTGTGTGTCACTTGGCTGAAGAGCAGGGTATGCTTTGAGGCTCATTCTCTTTGGGCACCCATATTTTGTTGGAAGAAATGATTGCCATTGATCGTGATATCAATTTGGAGGATGATGGTGGTGGTGGCGGCGGTGGTGGTGAATCGTTGTGATCCTACGGTGATTTAGTGTGCCGACAGAGAACAATAGGATTGAGGTTCTTGCGAATCTACCATGATGACCTTGACATGATCATTGAAAAATTGGCCCTGGCTCAACAAGTGTGGCGAAAGATACTGCATGACCATTTTGTTTTCCAATTGAACGCAGAAGGACATGTTAAAGGAAAAAAGATCTGCACGTTTCGCGTTTTTCCCGAGAGCGTCTGAGCGCAGGGTTCTTCCAATAGTGGGGGTCTGTATCTCATCTTCTCATCTTCACACCTTCTCATCTTCACACCTTCTCATCTTCACACCTTCTCATCTTCACA